CCCCCCGTCCCTCCTGCACCATCTCCGCCGCCGGCTTCTGCGGCCGCACCGCCGGTGGCTGTCTGCAGCCAGATGCCGCTTCTAAACCGACGGGCAGATGGGCCTCTGCTGCCTCAGACCTCACGGAGCGCCCCCACTGCAGGCTGCACTTCACCTCCATTCCTCAGTCACTGAGACCTTTGACGACCGGGCCTGCCCGCGCCCGTTCCCGCCCGGCTTTCACTCCCGGGGCCGCAGCCACCTGACTTTCTGTCCCTTGGTCTCGCCAGTGCGCTGCGCATCGGGGTCTCCGCACCTGCACCCGCTGTCCCTTCTGCTCGGGACGCTTCTCCCTGGGTGTTACGCGGCAACTGACCTAATTCGGGGTGTCTTCCTCCAGCCACCTGGGAAGGCAGCAGCTCAGCCGCTTCCACTTTGCTCACTGTATTTACAAGGCCCGCGGTGGCCGGGCTCGGTGGCGTGCCGCGCGACAATGCTGGAGGCAGGCACGGTCAGTCCTGCTCGCGGCCCATCCAGCGCCCAGGCAGCCCGGGCCCCACGAGCCTCTGGAGCTGAAGGCCCGGGGCGCAGTGAGGGCTCCAGGGCCCCGCCCCGCTGGGTGGGTCGGGGGCCACACGCCCAGAAAGGAGCTGGCAGCCTTTGCTACCAGGGGACGCGCAGGGCTGGCAGGAAGTCCCTCTGCGGGGCAGCCCCACGCATCCAGGACACCAGTTCCACCTCCGTGACTCAGGGACTCAGCCCCGTCCTGCCTCGCCCCTCCCTCACCTGGCCACCTCCACGCTGGGAGGGAGCGGGGTCGGGCGGTCACCACGGGCTGCCCGTTAGGGTGGGGCCTGTCATCCTGTCTCCTGCACCTGGCTTCCCAGGCCGGGCTGGGGTGTCATCCCACCCGACCAGACTGATGCAAAGGGGCGGGGGCCCGGCCTGCCTGGTCCGGAGGGCGTTCGCCATAGCGCTGGGTAGCCGCAGCCCCCCCCCCCCCCGCAGGCTTGCCACCCCACCACCGCGGGCTAAACCCAAAGAGCAGCCTCCCAGACGCGCAGTCAGACAGGGAAGGGCACCCCGGGAAAGCGGCCTGAGAGCCTGACGCCTGAAGGCCACAGCCACCCCAGCGCGTGGTCAGCAGCGTAAACCCCCTGGACAATGGCAGAAGAGGGGGGAGACAAAGGCGCAGAGGAGCAAGAGGGGGCAACCGCTTCCTGCCCACTCCCCACCCTGCCAGGGTGCCAGACAGCCCCCCGCTGAGCTGCGGCTTGGCCGCCCCAGAGGCACAAAGGTGTCTTTATCTCAGGACAGGCTGCAGCCCGCTCCTGTCCGCCGCTTCGGAGCTGCTCTGAGCAGCCCCAGGCCGGCTGGAGGGAACCGTCGCAGGCCGAGGCTCGCGCCCCCTGCCGGGCTGCAACTGCAAAGTCAGCCGTCCTGAGGGTGCACGAGCCCTGCAGCCGCGTGCCTGGCCGGTGGGGGCGCGACGTCCCCGTTTTAACCCAATGGGCCTTCACCAACGGAGGGTGAGCAGCACCCAGTATCCCCGCAAGCACGGAGGGCAGATGGGCGGGCGGGAAGCCTCAGACCAGACTCAGGGCCAGGGGCGAGGCCCACCAGGGCGCCCCCGGGCCGGGTGCTGGGGCAGCGGAGGGTCGGGGAGCCCGGCCCTGGGGTTCCCCGCCCGGAGGACAGCGCTCCTCAGCGCACGCACCCAGTCTGGGGCCCCGGGTCTGCTCCCGAGGCGCGTCGCGCCCCGCAGAGCGTCCAGCGGGCCCGCAGCCTGCGCGCAAGGCCCCAGCGAGGAGCCCGCGCGAGCAGATAAGACCCGAAAAAGCCTCCAACCGCCTCCCGCGCCAGGCACCAGAACCCTGGACGGAGCGGTCGCGCTCAATTTATAAGGATGGGTGGGGCCCCGCCCCTCGCGAGATCTCGCGGGAGTTCCGGTGCGCGCCCTCCCCCTTTGCCCTCCGGGGCGAATCCCCGACGCCAGCGCGCACGCACGCAGCGCGGTGACGCCATTCCGGCGGCGGTGGCGGCGCGCGGACCTGTTTCCGCTTTCGGCCCCGGCGCGCGCTTGCTCGCAGCCGAGTCGGGATCATGGCGGCCACGGCCACGATGGCGGCCTCGGGGCCGGCGCGGAAGCGGCTGCTCAAAGAGGAGGACATGACCAAGGTGGAGTTCGAGACCAGCGAGGAGGTGGACGTGACCCCCACTTTCGACACCATGGGCCTGCGGGAGGACCTGCTGCGCGGCA